CAATCTCGTGAAAAGCAGCTTTAACTAGTATGTGATCTGCCCAGATGTTGTGAAGCCCCCCCCCCCCCCCCCGGAACTTCTCAAAGCTTAAAAGTTATAAGACATGTAAAATACAGTATAAAACATGCGTTCTACAGCCATCTGTGTGAGAGGCAAATTAAAAGTATTTCAAGAACATTTATCTCCACACCTTGAGAAGTTCAATTGAGTTTAGCTAAATGATCTCACTGACCGTTTACCACTGTTGGGGAATGAACACAAGCACTTTTTTTGTTGCCAAGGCAAAAATAATGAGGCAACTTGAATGGAAGCCACAGCTTCGCAATATTTGGTAATGTTAACTTATTATGAAACTCATATCTTCATCACCAGATGGGTGCAGCCTCGGTGGAAATATTGCTAACAAGCTAAACTAATAAGCAGATTCGAAGCCCTCGCTGCAGCATATTGAGCAGATAGCTTTTCACAGGATGAAAGCGTTAAACTTTGACTCGGTCTACATCGGGCCCTGGGTGCATTCATTTCCATAAGAAAGTGCAACACAGCAGAAAAGTGAAGTTTTCAAAACGGTATTAAAAAATAATATATATACTTGAGTTCTGATCAGAGGGCCAACCTGGCTCAATTATCGCAGGAACACACATACTGTATGGTTTGTTGGCAGTGTGTGTGTGTATAGGTTAATATATGTTTATGTGTGTGTGTGTGTGTGTGTGTGTGTGTGTGCCTGTGTCTAAACAGCATGTGTGTGTGCATGGCATCTTAAATAAGTCCACTGCCTCTCTGTTTGACCAGGAAAAAAAAAGGTACAGCCATTGGCATTATTTGGAGTAAAGCATTTTGTGTGTGTGTGTGTGTGTGTGTGTGTGTGTGTGTGTGTGTGTGTGTGTTTAGCATGCAGATATTTCTGGTGCACTACGTGGGGGCCCATGCTGACAGCGTGTCAAGCAACCTGTCAGACGTGGAGGAGGATTATTATCTCCTTCTGTACGCTCCATTTCCACTCTCTTCAAACTACACTTTACTGTGAGAGAGCGAGACAGACAGCGAGGGACAGAGAAAGGAGGAATTAGACAGATAGTTTCAGGTGCATCTGAAATTAACAAAAGACACATACGCCCACGTCAAATAAATGTTACTACAGCCTTTCCTGTATTGACATTTTGTAAGAAATGGAAAGATGGATATGAACTTGAAGATGAACCTCTGGATTGTCAAAACAAGTAAGTGAATAGCATCGGGCATGGTGCTTCAGGTCCTCTGTCAGTCTATCTTCATGTTCTCTCAATAGGAAACACAAAACAGTAGTTAACAACATCTGAATGCTCACCAAGGACAGGGTGGAGACACAGTGCATGAGAGTTAACTTGTGTGACTGAACTGTGCTGAGCACAGTCTATTAAAAGTCGATAAAACAATCTATTATTTTTCATTAAAAAAAAAGTATAAAAATAGTTCACTGTTCACTATAAAGTGCCACATTTATTTGAATGTTGAGGAAAATGGTGACACAGACCAGTGCCATGAGAATTTTACAAAAAGGCATACCTTAAAGATATGGCGATATGTAGCTTCACTTTGCATCAACAATATTGGATCATTGAGGCAAAAAATGACCCACACACACACACAGACACACACAAAGCGACGGGGTCCGTGTTTCACAACGGGGTTGGGTGGGTTGCCGACATCGCCGTCGACTCCTGAGGCACTGAGAGCAGTCTGCCTAGAATGGCAGTCGCACCGGGAGCATAGGGTCGGGTCCTCCCCTGTAGGAACAAAGGGGACGCAGAGCGTCCACAACCCCAGGATGCGGCGAGGTCCGGGCCTGAGCCGCAAGCCACCTCGACACCGGTCCCCCTTTCCAAGCTGACATAAAGACGGTCACGTAGGGGCTGGCCAAAATCTTCCATCACGATATAGGTAATTTCATACCTCGACAACAATATACATCATGATATAGCATGTTTTCTGGTCGTGCAAAAAAATATGAATGAAATGACCCCATGGAAAAGCTATTCATGTCTACTCCTGTGTGAATTAAATACTTGATATACAAATGTTATTTGTTGCTACAATGTTCTTAATTAAATAACAGTTTCAATTGAAGTTATAGAAAGGAAAATAAAATGCTTATGTTATAATATAAAAAAAATTAGATTTTAAAAGTTGATCAGATTTTCGGAGAAATTTGAGGTTGTGTGTGTGCTTCTTATTATCAATTTCGATGATGTTATTGTGTATTATGATATCGCTATATCGGATTACATCACGATACGATTCCATTGAAAAGGTCCATAAATGATCACGTCGACTTATCGCCCCAACCTTACGGTCGCACTGCACCGCTGCGGTGGAAATGTCCCCAGCGATGGGCAAAGCCAAGCACCAGGGGATCCTCCCACAATTACAAATGTGTCGTGAGTTTTTTGTTACACCCCTAACCAGCACATATGTTAATGCAAAGGGCGAGATAACGTTAACATACAGTAAGCCTCGCTCAGTTTGACTAGGACTCATCTCGGTTCAATTCAGCTGAGCAGTTTTGAAGAAACCAAACATCGAGCAGTGGGAACACTTGGAGAAGGCAAACAGGCTAAAACCGAGGCATTATGGGGCTTCTGGTGGCATCTGCGAACACACCGAGCCTGCAGATAGACGCATGAAATCCCCCCATTTACATATACAGTACACGTGCACCTGAATATACAGTGTGTATGCAAAACACACATCACATCACACACACACACACACACACACACACGTAGAGGTCTGTCTACAAACATCCTAAGCCCAACAGCAAACACAGCTTGTACTTGTATGTCAGCCTGCCAGTCGTCTTCTCCCTCTGCAAACCCAACCTGTTACTAATGAGACTAACACAAATAGCAAGGCATCTGACACCAAGACCTCTGTGTGTGTGTGTGTGTGTGTGTGTGTGTGTGTGTGCTTCAAATGTGTGGAGAGACTATGCATGGAGGTAATACATGTTTATCTATGCTGACTGTACGATAATTAGAATACAGATTTGGTGTTATGGTGGTGTCAGCCTGTGTGCGTTTGTCCGTCATTTATAAGTAGACAGCCAGGGAACCGTGGAGGAAGGAAGGAAGGAAGAAAATAAGGACAGAGGTCATAAATAAAAACGCACGAAGACAGACTTCTTTCTTGTCTTCTCCTTTGCAGGACAGGATTGACACGCCTAGTTTCAAAACTGCCCAAACTTCCGATTTAACCAAACAGAAAAAGAAAAGCCTATTGCGCGAGTCAGTGACTACCAAGAACTCTATCCGCTTATGGTAGCTTATGGCACACGCTACCCGTAACCTCCACTGACATGCACATACGCACACAATTTATTCCAAACTCGGGTTGAGGTTTTCTGTCAGTTTTCCAGCAGCAATCAGGAATAAACAAATGATGTAATAGTAAAGACAATAAATTAAAGGCCTAAGCTACAAGCACATGCACCACAGGGGGGCAACTGTGACACTGCAGAGATGGCACTCCAATGTTACGGCCCCCCGTGCGACTCCATCTGCTCCCACCACTCCCTTGGCGGGACAGATTTCAATTAGCCATGGTGAACACTACGTAATAATTAGATTTCACACATAACGTCCAGTAAAGGTCTTCTACGTTTGAGTACTAGGGGGAGTGCTTCCCCCAGAGAGCCCGTGAAAAGGTCCGTCTTGTGTGGCGCCCGTTGAGGCTGAGACTTAACTCGTGACCAACAGCTTTTACACCTTTTCTGCCTGGTAAATGCCAGACAGACGGACAGATGAAAGGGGAGGAAAGGGGTTGTAAGGGCTCTGTGGAGATGCTCAGGCTGGCTAAAAACCGGTGTTCCCTTTTGAAATCACATTTACTGACACAGTGCTTTTTCCGACGGATTTTCGTGTGCAGGGTGCATGCTCTCTCGTGTGTCAGCTGTAGTTTAACTTTGAGTTGGACAGAAGAAGTGCATAAAGAAAAGCAAACTACCAAACCAACTACTCACCGTGTGAAAAGGGACAGTTTACCAAAAGTCGATGGCACGCCCCCCCATTTTGGAGAGGCAGAAAGGAATACCAATACGGGAGCTAAACAATGTCCTGAGGCAGCAGCAAAACATTTTTAGCACCCTCAATATCAGTAAAAGCGTGCACTATATTTAGAATATTTTCAGCCACAAGACGTCTTTGTCAAAAACAGTATTTTACTTCGCAGATCACACGAGTTGCTGATCGACCGCTGCTTCAATTGATTAGTTTGTTTGTGTCATTGTGTCACTCAGTTCCCCGCCAGAAACGGCTGTCTGACAGCAAGGTAAAGCGTTGAAAATATTGTAAATATAGCCCACACTTCAACCGATCATGATTTATTCAGGTGGGCCTTTCTTTTAGGTGGCTAAAATCCCTTTTGCTGCAGGCCCCATCCACAGCAGTACATTTCGTTGTACTCCTCTCCACTTCTCCAAACTGGGGGTGCGCCGTCCGCCATTTACTGCAGGTAATACACCGACTGTGGATAAGTGCCCCATACTACTCCACTTGAAATAATCCAAACTGTCCCTTTAATATGATTGTCACTGTCACACATTTGCACTTGTGAGTGTTCGTGCTGTTTTTCCAGCAGGTGTGTTGGACCAGAGTCAGACAGCCGATGCCATTCATTTTGCAAAATTCGCATAATGAGACTTAGAACACAGACCAGTTATGTCCACCCACTTTCTGTCATAGTGCGGCGGCTGAGCGAACACGCACAAAGCACGTTGGCGAGTATCGCATGTTTTCTTGTGCCTGCATTTGTGTGATTGTACAATAGTGTGTAGTGCGTTTGTTTGGGGCCGTTTAGCTACTTGTGTGTCGCAAAGTTAAGTCTGTCCAAGTGTATAGACATTGTGTATGTGTGAGTGCATCCATAGTTTTGTGTGTACAGTATGTACAACTTTGGGAATCTGTGAAAGCCTCTAATGAAGTCTTTGTAAGCGTCTGTGTGCGTGTGTGTGAATGTTGTACCCTCTTCTCCAGCTGTGCCAGCTGCTCCTTGTAGAAGGCATCCAATGCTTTCAGCTGTACATCTTTCTTCTGTAGCTGCTGAGCCTGCAAGAGGGCGCGCACACACACACACACACAGGAAAGGATTAAACATTGTGTACTGCTACGTTTTCTCACTAGAAAGTAGTAGACTCGTGAAATATATGGTTTATGGTGATGTTGGTATGTTACATATCAGATACAATTTGAATTTTAGTGATAATATTCTCTAACAGTGCTACAGTATGATACCATACGACAGTGGTTACCAATCTGCGGGTCGCACATTTCAGCTCAGTGTGGGACGTTACAGTGTTTTTCTGTCAATAACTGTCTGTCCTCCGGTCTCTGTGTCACCCAGGGGTGTGCGGAGGGGAGAGACAACACTCGGCAGTCCGCTAGCTTGTTGCTCTCGCTACCAATATTAGCTGATCTGTGATCTGAAGAAAAGAAACGCATGCATGCAGCCTGAAATTCAAACGTGGTGTTGTTCCCCCCGTTGCTCAGGAAGAAAAAGCCTGCTAGCCGCTAGGCTAATTCATGCAGTGTAAAATGCCCTCTCTTAGAGCTGCTAAGGGAACATCTGATACTGGTATTGAAAAGATGCAGCTTTCTTTATAATAGACTGTTGTAGTCTAATTTTTAAAGAGGCACTATCTAAATAAAAAAGAGAGTTCAGATTGTATCTGACTGCTTGTATTAATTCTTGAAAAAGTAGCCATGTGCAGTAATAGAAAATTGAGGATGCAATACGTTGAGACGCATTGAGAGTTGCTGTGCATTTGAATTGCTGACGGCTGAATCGTAATGGAAGTGAATCAAAAGGTCAGTGATGATTCACACCTGTAGTGCTGGTACAGAAATCTGTTTTTCATACTTCCTCCCTGTGATCAGCACCTCATCACAACCCCTCGGTGTGCGTTACTTTTCGAGCATTTTACACCACCGATCACATGTTATTTTCAAGTAGTTATAAAAGGCAGCGAATGTGACAAACATGGACATATGTTCGCAAAAGCATCCACAGGTGTGTGAAAGCAGGCTGACAAACGGGCTCATATGCCGTGCAAACACGCTCCACACTGACTGACAGACGGGGGAAAATAAAAAGCAGCATGTGTGGTGGAAATACACTGGAGAAAGAAATTAAGGGGAGGAGCCTAAACAAGGTGCAGAGAGAATTAAAGAGACATCATCTCTGTTGCTCCACTTTTATTTAACCTCCTCTGTCCAAGAACAAATGAAATGCTCCACAAGCATCAGGAGTCAACGGCACAAATACTTCACTTATTGTCTAACTTATTGAACTTTATTGAATGAACTGATGTACAACCCATTAGAACAAACTTCGAGGGAGAGTTTACGGCACATAAAGGAAAAAATGAAAAAAGAAGCTTGGAGGGCTGTTGCGGCTATAGGCCCGTTGCAATTATTACACAATCGCCTGATCGCAATTATCTTTGGATTCCACAGTTAACTTCAAGCTAATGTTGGCAAAGAAATGGCAACGAACAGAAATTGGATTTGGTATTCATATGACGGGTAAATAAAGTGTCTACCTGAGCAGAAGGTTCTAATGTCAGGAAAAAATAACATGAAAAAAAGAGAGAGCATGGCTGTCTGTGACCTTACTGCTGTTGTATAGCTTCTTCTGTTTCAGTTCATACGAGACCGTATGTGTTGCGATCAGACGCTAGATGATGACAGAGAGAGGTGCCAATAACAGCTCTCTTGATTCTCCTGAAGGGGAAGAAGTGTGTTTCACATCTCTGAAAAGGAAAGGAAAGTTGTCTGGTTGGAGTAGATGTGTAACCCCCGAAGTGAGCATCAACTTCGGCAGTGAGTGGAGAAAAGAAACAAAGTCTCCACTGTGCCTCCCGAGTCCCGACCACGGTCCGGAAGCTGCAGCGGGAACGGTTAACACAGGCTTTGCGTTTCCACGTTGCAGATTAACGTTTGAAAGTACGATCAAGCGTTCAAAACGATCAAAAATGAGCTATTTAAAATGATTTAAATAAATCTATGCAGCAGAACGGGAGGTGAAACGTTTGTTGTAGCAAATTATTTGAAGATGAACCGACTTATTTTCCATCGATAGCATCATTTCGATGAGCAGCTATTGAGATGAACAACATTGATTTAGGTTTAGTTGTAAAGATGCAAAGGTGACCGGCACATATTGAATTACTATTTTCTTTTTACTATTTAAAATGGGTAAAATCACATTGATCACATCGCATTGATTGATTCAGTCCCTGATACAGTACTACAGTGTGCTGCAGTAGTCACAGATTCATTCTTTTCAACCTTTTTTGAAAAAATCTTTTTGACTAAAAGGTCAGAATAAAAAATGTGTGATAAAAAAAAAAAAAGAATCAATACATAAAATAAAGACAAATAGTAAAGTAGGGAAATATGTATGCGGGATACGTAAAAATGGAAAAAAGAATAAAGACAGATATGGAATGAGTAAACAAGTGGGAGGAAGGGATGGAATTATTTGGTCGGACGGAGAGATGGGAGCATAAAACCAGGAGACATGATGGGGCAGAAAGAGATCTGTAAAAGATTTAACTTTAATAGAAATTATTGAGAATAATCGTGACAATTGCAGTTTGAACTTTTGTGAAGTGACCCTAAGCCAGAGGAAAGTGGGGACATAAAACATTGCGAGGGTTAGAAAGCAGCAGGATGGATGGAGGGAGGGAGGGAAGGGACAAAAGAGCAGGAGGTTGGAAGGTTATGATGAAGCTTACCATCACAGGTATCTCATCTGCAGACTAGAGAAGTGGGAATATAGAAAGTAGAAAGAGTAGAAGAGGCAGAGACACAAAGCATGTTAGGACAAGAAAGGAGGAGCACACACAGTGGTTGGGTTAGGGCTCTTCAATAGTTCAAATACAAATGCCTGCAATTGAATTCAATGAATCACACCACCAGCATTTTCATGCTTTTTTCTGTTTTGGAGTTTCATAAATATCTATTAAGTTCATGTAAAACATACTGAGACATGAGATGGACTTGAATAAACTAACTTTTTTCTATTTTTTATTAATGGGAAATCTTGTCTGTGAAGTGATAAACTGAAGACTTCTGTGAAATCTGAATTTAGCAGCATAAAAACTGCATTCAACTACGACCTATTCTAAAACAGCACAAACGACTCCACTGACTGCTTGTTGTTTGCCTCATTTCACACGGACTCACACACACACACACACACACACACACGGTATGCTCTGCACTGTCCCGAATGTGATAGAGGTTAAAGGTTAATAGATGTTCTGACTCAATCCTCGCTGGTCAAACGTGGCTGTTGAAGGACTCGCAACAGCTACCTGGGAATAAGGAGAACATAAAGTCATATAAAAGCCTTATAAAACTGAACGCCATGGCATTTAATCTGCATAAAGACCAGGATCCTGTGAAACTGTGCCAAGTTTACGGCACTAAAATGTATCAACGTGAGGAAAACTTCATGGAACTTGCTTCAGACACAGCTGGCAACAGATGGGTGCGTTTGTCACGCTGTGGGTTCAACAGGCAGAAAAAGTTTGAATAAGAACTGCAAAGTACCTCCGATACCGACAGCCTGTCAGACTCCATCTGAACTACCCTAATGCACTGAATCTCACACAATCTGGTACACCCGGCAAATTAATGCCAGTCAATGTTTTTCATAGCACCGTCGCCGCTGAAAACATCAGGCGCATCAGTACAGAAGGAGAGGAGAGACTACGAGTGCACAGCGTACAGAGGGAGGAAGATTCATCATAATTATCAGGGCTGCTGAACGGCAAATCAAATCAGAGTCGATCGTCTGCGTTTCATAAACAGACCTTAACTGAGGAGAGACAAAGAGCGGGGGGGGGCGTCTGATGTGAGAGATACTCCCACTGTCGGGGTGAGAGCTGCAGCTGGTGCATGTTAATGCAGAGGGGGGGGGGGGGGGGGCGAGGGAATTGTTCACGTTCATTTTATACGTTAGGCGAGGATCTGTTGGCGAGGATTAAGCAGAAACTGAACGGATTTTAATTTGAAAAACAGAGCTCTCCTTCCTATCTGCGTCTGCGTTTTAATTTGCAGCCAGAGATGAAACTGCAAGTGAATCAGATGAGTCCTCTGGTGTCCCTCCAGGGACCTGCGAGTCTATCTCTCTCTCTCTCTCTCTCTCTCTCTCTCTCTCTCTCTCACACACTCTGTTGGGAACCCTTGGTCATCCATTTGTTCGGTCTTTTCTGTCTGCATTAATGTGTGTCAGTGAGTCCAGCTGTAACTCTGCTTTGCATTAGCACTTCATTCATTTCAATTAAAAGTGAAAAGCAGAGTCATCCAACTATAAAGCAAGGACTATATCTTTCTGTCCGTTTGTTCTTCGCATGTCTCCAAGAAACGCTCATCTGATCTACTTCACACTCGGTGGGTGTTCTGCGGGGGACCCCGTGGAGTGCTTTATCGAATTTGGTGCAATTTGGACAAGCAACACATTCAATATTAATACTCTTTGAATAAATTAGCGAACAGCGCTCTTTAGCATGTCGGCTCATTGACTGCAGTTCACTTTTGCTGCTGGGATTCTGGAAATACTAACGTTACAACCAAACTCTTTTTTACTTCCCTGCAGCATGTCCGGGACGGCGAGCAATTGGCCCGTTTGGAAGTGCTACGCATTATGGACGGCCACGCGCAACCAACAGGCCGACATTTTAGACAGACAAAATGGTCCCCAGAGGATGAATGCATTGTAAAAACTTTGGTGATCCCTTAACAGTGTCTATAGCGCCCATCAACAAGTCAAACTTGCTCAATATTTTGGTTTATGACCAAATACCTGCAAAAACTACAGACTTTCCTCTCAGATGTACTTTTAGATTCGCATGGAAACATGCTGAACTAATATGGCGAACACCATACGTGGTTAGCAACAGCAGCATAGCGTTATCACAGTGAGCATAATAGATGACATTAGCAGCATGCTACGTAAAAAACTGAGCCTCACAGAGCCAAAGTAAATCATTCAGTGTAAAACGATTATGATGCAAATCAGTAGATATAAACCGTATAATGAAGTAAAGGTGAGTATGAGCGTTCATTTCCAGCTTTTGGTCCTTTTTTGGCCGTTTTTTTTGATAATTCTCGTCAGGCTGGTACCAAAAAAAGCACTTATGTTCTATGCCTAATCTGAGCCTGCATTCAAAAGCTCAACACAAGACGAACACATGCAGTCTGCGACCTTTTCATCACCTACTAAAAAGGTACAGCAGCAGCATTCGTTATGGTAGTGCTACAGAGAAAAAAAAGTGTTTCATCCTTTTGCGTCTAGAATGAAGAAGAAGCCTCACAAACACACCGTAGTCCTCTCAGGATTATCCAATTATCACCAAATGAGCCGGCATACAAAATAAATTCAATTTAATGGGACGCTTAATCACAAAGCAGTGTAAAACTGCAGGTATATTAAGCACTGTGCTTTTAGACATACATTAAAAAGAAATAGCAACTGTTGTCACCAAAAAGGTCAGCCGGGTGTATTATAATATCTAATTTTCATTACTTTTTCGAATGCTTAAACTATTTCCACTTGCCGTACAGGATATCCAATTCATTCTCCTCTGGAGCTTTTGAAATAGTTCTAAAATTGTCCTAAATGACTTCAGTGAAAACAATAAAAAGAGATAAAAACTCATCTGTGTGAGAAGAGGAATCCCAAACATGTAACAAATGTAAACAAGAGCAGAGAAACATCTTCAGTTATTAAGAAGGTGCAGAATGGAACAGGACAGCTGGTACGCCGTGAGCTATACAGGAGATTAGCTTACAAACGTGTTATCGCACGTTCTTCTTGCTCGGGGCACCTTCTGCATACGCATCGAGTCGGCACACAGCTAGAGGTGTGAAGCATCTATTTAGAAGCTCCAGACAGAGGGAATCAAAATGTGCAAATGTGTGCGAGACCGAAAAAGCAAGCGGGAGTAAGTGGGGGGGAGAGAGCATAGCTAATAATGATGAAGGGGGGGGGGAAGATATGAAACAAAAACAAAAAGTGATAAAAGTGAGAAAACAAAATCACAGCAAGCAGGAGCAGGAGATGAGAGCCTCTGTTGTGGAAGCATCTCACGGCAAAAGCAGAATCTAGCAGAGAGGTGGAGGCGCTTCACGTTGTTCGCGATGCAGTTTTGCGTGTTAACTTTGTTGCTTTTTGTTTTAGAAACACAGCAGTGCCGTGAGGCTGATCTCTAACGTGCACTATGTCCAAAAAAGCGTCCAGCCATGACGCATTGGTGAAATTATGAAAACAAAAAAGTAGACCATTAAACTGTGATGCATGTTGTCTTAATGCAGCAGTAAAACACATCTAAATGTTTTACAGTGTATGGTAAAATATGTATTACGTAAGTAACACTAAACAAAAATAAAATGACTAAAAATATATAAATATAAATAAATATTTGGGATGTTGGTCAGACCTGTACTTCTACCTGGAGGAAATAAACGGATAGTCTGGGATGTTGAGGAGTCAAGACATGTTATAGTGATCAGAAACCTGACTAATGTTAGAGGGCGTCTGATATGTTATTTGGTAATGAAAAGATCAGAGCTCTTGAACTTGACCTCGATGCCAATGAGCCCGAAACGTTTCCCAGATGGCGAGGACCGAGAGCAGTCCCGCGGCAGAAAGAAATAACAACACGCATATCATCTTCTTAAGGCAGCTAGAGGCTTCAGTTCCAAATTAGGTCTCCTGTTGAGACAGTCGTAGCACAAATTGGTGTGTAAAAAACATTGGTGGGTCAAAAAACAAAAACAAATAGTACTGAAGACACAGGATGACATCATCAAAGCTGCCCAATGAATGAAATACCGGTGAGTCCAACTAGTCTTGTCTAACCATTATCTGGTCAGTGAAAATGCAAGACTATTCAATGAAGTTCTGGTGGGGCTGCATTCGTACATCTTTTTTATGTATTTTTTTTTTACAGTGCACAGCGTGTTGTGAGGCTGAGGGGACAACAGATGGCGGTTGTCTGAGCAGTTGCGAGTGCGTCTGCCGGGTAGACGCCACAGTGATACCGGCTACGGAGGGGCCAACACCCTGATCCAGTACAGACGGAGGACGTGAAGAGAGCATCTGAGGGCGGCACAGTCCAACGGATCGTCGACGCGACACATGGGCCCGGGAACGCTGGTGTTTGGGCTTGCAAGTACGCCTGGGACGGACAAATATACACTCGCTCACATCTCGCTCTTCCCCCCCTGTGGGCAATGCGTGTGCTGTGTTGCCATCTGATAGCAGCAGCAGTCTGTTCTCCCGTTCCCTCTTCCCCCACTCTCTCTATTTACTCCGCTGCGTTTATTTAACACATAGCTCCCAGCGAGGCAATAAATTAGCACTCAATAATAATCTGACTGATAATTACAGCCAGGCAGCTATACGCAGAGGGGGGAGAAGGACAATAAGGGCCACTGGCCCTCCTCCTCCTCCTCCTCCTCCATCTATTACTTGTACTCTGACTGCTCCCCCTTTCATGTGACCCTCCCTCCCTAATGTTTCAATTTGTTGTCGTACAGTATTTTCTACATAATCATAATGTATGGTCTAATGTGGTTACAGTGAGGTCAACCAAATCAGAAATACTTCAAAGAGGGAGTTGAGTTTGACACGTATTGTATTTTAAAATGGATCTAAAAAGGTGTATCCTGGCAACAAGAGAAGACCACCAAGAAAGATAAAGAATTTTTCTGACACAGACATCGAGGTGCTTTGAACTCACTTCCTCTT